GGAGGGATAACACTGGGAGAAATGCCTGATGTAGGTGACAGGGGGATGGAGACAGCAAACCACCATGGCATGTGTGTACCTATGCAACAATCCTGCAAGACCTGCACATAAAGTTTTTCTTTTAAGAAGTATCCTCAGACTATAGCCTAGAGTTTCCGGATTGCAGATTCATGGTGCAGTTCAACATGTTCCTCTGTCTTTTTGTGGGGGACAGGGTCTCCCTCTGTCACCCAGGCTGGAGTGCAGTGACGTAATCACAGGTCACTGAAGCCTCTACCTCTTAGGCTCAAGTGATCCTCTCACCTCAGCCTCTCCAGTAGCTGGGACTACAGGCATGAGCCACCACACCTGACTAATTTTTATTTTTATTTTTTGTAGAGACAGGGTCTCATTATGTTGCCCAAGCTGGTCTCAAACTCCTGGGCTCAAGCAATCCTCTCACCCCAGCCTCCCTAACTACCGGATTACAGGCGTGAGTCACCAGGCCTGGCCTCCTCTGTCTTCTCTTTCTGCACACTTGCAGTGGGAACAGACTCAAGCTCCAGCCCTTTGTCACAATACAAGTGGTGCTGTGTTGTTTCAACAGAAGGCACATGACAACTACGCTCCACTCTTTGCTGATGTTGGCAGCCAATGCCGCTAAATGCCTAGATTCATTAATTCACTGAGGGTTGCTAAACGTGAAACTCATCTCGCTTTCTGATTAAGTCTTTCCCCATGAGGCAAGCAGAGGCAGTTGCAGATGAACAGCTTTGCCAAGATGTCTGATATAAACAGAATAGTGTGCTTTCCTCCTGTTTCTGACCTCTGCCTGAAATCAGATAGTCTCCAGGCCTGTGGAATTTGTTTTCAAATGACTGCTTTTCAAACAAGATTGGCTGGGTTCTGGACATGCATTTTCCCATATGACCCAAAGACATCTGAATGAATGTGATCAAACACATCCTGGATCCAGGCTATACACTTCTAGTGGGTGCCACATATCTGTGATCAGTGTTAGCGCATCTGGAAACCTCAGTGCCACACCATATCCCAAGGGCATCTCCCAAGCGCAGGTGAAACAAAACATGAAAATCGACGCCATCTTTACAAGTGACAGAACCACCAAAACAGGACGAGGCCTTAGTCAGCATTTCCTAACAAGGCCAGGTGCCTACACAGCACTCTTGGGCCAGACACTACCAACATGGAGTTAGATTTCCCTACAGTCACTCACCTTTTTTACTTAAACAAGTTTATTTGTTTTTTAAAAAAAAATACTGGGCTGGTGCAGTGGCACACACTAGCAATCCCAGCAGTTTTGGAGGCTGAGGCAAGAGGATTGCTTGAGCCCAAGAGTTTGAAAGCAGCCTGGGCAATAAATATAATGAGACCTAACATCTACAAATAATTTTTTTTTCAATTTGCTAGATGTGATGGCATACCCGTAGTTCCACGTACTCAAGAGGCTTGATCCCGGGAATTCCAAGCTGCAGTGAGCCATGTGTGACAGAGAAAGACCAGCCCGGGTGACAAAGACCTTGTCTCAAATAAATAATAAACACATAAATAAATAAGTATAAAATATCACAGGAAAGCATATGCAGCTATTGGGAGGATAAGAAACCACCCATCAGAGGACCAGGGAGAGAGTGCGGGGAGTGAGGAGGTCAGAAAGCAGGAAAGTTTCCCCAGGGAAGGGGATGATTCGATTTCTTTTTTTTCTTTTCTTTCTTTTTTTTTTTTTTTTTTTCTTTCTTTCTTTCTTTTGAGATAAGGTCTTCACTCTGTTGCCTTAAACTCCTAGGTTCAGGCGATCTTTCTGCCTCAGTCTCCCAAGTGGCTGAGACTACAGGTTCGCACCACCATGCCCAGCTAAGTTTTACAATTCTCTTGTAGAGACAAGGTCTCAATAAATTGCCTAGGCTGGTCTTGAACTCCTGGGCTCAAGTGGTCCTTCTACCTTGGCCTCCCAAAACACTGCAGTTACAGGCATGAGCCAGTGCACCCAGCCTGATTCCATGTTTCAAATCTCTCAGGGAGTTCCCTCTGGTTGGAAGCAGGGTTAATTCAAAAGCAATCCATGGCTTCTGGCAGAGTGCATGGGTCTACCTTTTTTTTTCTTTTTTAGACAGAGTCTCACTCTGTCACCCCGGCTGGAGTACAGTGGCACGATCTTGGCTCACTGCAACCTCTGCCTCCCGGATTCAAGCAACTCTCCTGCCTCAGCCTCCTCAGTAGCTTGGATCACAGGCGCCCACCACCACGCCCAGCTAATTTTTGGGTTTTTTGTTTGTTTTTGTCTGTTTGTCTTTACCTTAGGCTTGTCAGTCAAAATTTTTGTATTTTAGTAGAGACAGGGTTTCACCATCTTGGCCAGGCTGGTCTTGAACTCCTGACCTCGTGATCCACCCACCTCAGCCTCCCAAAGTGCTAGGATTACAGGTGTGAGCCACCACGCCCGGCCGGGTCCACTTTTTATACTGATTTGTAGTATGGGGAAAGACCCAGAAATATACTCTAAAATAATTTCAGAGAAGAAAAAGCTGAATGCCTGAAATATCCACTGCATTCCTGTTTACACTTAAAGCAAAGCACAACAAAACAAAACAAACCAACCTGGAAACCACAGAAAAGCAGTTAGCAAAATCTGGGAAATGGTATATCCTGAGTGCTGACCATGTGCCGATTGCTTTAAATAGAGCATAGCCAAATAATTATACCTTTCTATCCTTGTAGCAACTGTGAGTCTCAAACCTCCTAGTCTCTGAGAAAAGTCAGATTCAAAGAAGACAGAGGAAAGGAGTCTATTCAATCAACGCTGTGGAAACTATTTGACATCCTTATAGATGTATATAAAAAATTAAACGTAACCCTTATCTCATACCATGTATAGAAATTAACTTGGCCAGGTGCCATGGCTCATCCCTATAATTCCAGCACTTTGGGAAGTCAAAGCAGGCAGAACACCCAAGGTCAGGAGTTTGAGGCCAGCCTGGCCAACATGATGAAACCCCATTTCTACTAAAAATATAAAATTAGCCAGGTGTGGTGGTGTGTGCCTGTAATCCCAGCTCAGTAAGCTGAGGTAGGAGAATTACTTGAACCCATGAGACAGAGGTTTCAGTGAGCCAAAATCACACCATTCTAGCCTGGGCAACAAGCATGAAACTCCATCTCAAAAAAAACAAAAACAAAGAAATAACTTTACATGGACCATAGACTTAATTGTAAAACCTAAAACTTCTAGGAGGAAATCTTTGTAATTTCGCAAAACTTTCTTATATATGCCACCAAAAGCATCACAAACCACTTTAAAAATGAGTAAGGATCATCCATGCAAAGCTAGAAACAGAAAAAAAAAATAGACCAGGCACGGTGGCTCATGCCTGTAATCCCAGTACTTTGGGAGGCCGAGGTGGGCAGATCACCTGAGGTCAGGAGTTCAAGACCAGCCTAACCAACACGGAGAAACCCCATCTCTACTAAAAATACAAAGTTAGCCAGGCGTGGTGGCACATGCCTGTAATGTCAGCCATTCGGGAGGCTCAGGCAGGAGAATCGCTTGAACCTGGGAGACAAAGGTTGCAGTGAGCCAAGATCGCACCTTTGCACTCCAGCCTGGGCAACAAGAGCAGAACTCCATTCCCCCTCCAAAAGAAAAGAAAATTTAAAAATTAAAATGCGGAAGGAGCAATAGGTGCTATTTAGAATCATAATATGCTGTTATAACAGAGTACTCTTCTTCTTCTCCTTCTCCTTGTTTTTTTGAGACAGGGTTTCACTGTGTTGCCCAGGCTGGAGTGACGTTACACAAGCAAGCTCACTGCAGCCTCAAACTTCTGGGCTCAAGGCAACCTCCCACATAACCAGGACTACAGGTGCACTCAATCATGCCCCACTAATCATCTTCTTTTTTTGTTTTATAATAACAGGGTCTTGCTATGTTGCCCAGGCTGGTCTCAAACTCCTGGTCTCAGCCTCTCCAAGTGCTGGGATTATAGGCAAGAGCCACCACACTAGGTCAGAGTATTCATTTGTTATGGTTATCATCTATTCATGTCAAGCAATGTGGATCTTCCATTTATGCCAGTGATACAAAGTTTCCTTTTTAAATAAATGTGATTACATTTCTAGACTGTAAATGAACCTAAGGGAAAACACGCAGGTATAAAATACAGACCCTGGGCCTGGCACGGTGGCTCACACCTGTAATCCAGCAGTTTGGGAGGCTGAAGCAGGGGGATCACTTGAGGCCAGGAGTTTGAGGCCAGCCTGGTCAACATGGAGAAACTCTGTCTATACTAAAACAGAGTATTTGCAGGCATCATTAGTCAAATTAGAGCGAGGTCACACTAGGCATAGTGGAGCACGCCTGTAATCCCAGCTACCCAGGAGGCTGAGGCAGGAGAATCACTTGAACCCGGGAGGCGAAGCCTGCAGTGAGCTGACATCATGCCACTGCCCTCCAGCCTGGGTGACAGAGTGAGACTGTCTCAAAAATAAATTTTTTTTTTTTTTTTTTTTTTTTTGAGACGGAGTTTCGCTCTTGTTACCCAGGCTGGAGTGCAATGGCGCGATCTCGGCTCACCGCAACCTCCGCCTCCTGGGCTCAGGCAATTCTCCTGCCTCAGCCTCCTGAGTAGCTGGGATTACAGGCACGCGCCACCATGCCCAGCTAATTTTTTGTATTTTTAGTAGAGACAGGGTTTCACCATGTTGACCAGGATGATCTCGATCTCTTGACCTCGTGATTCACCCGCCTCGGCCTCCCAAAGTGCTGGGATTACAGGCTTGAGCCACCGCGCCCGGCCAATTTTTTTTTTTTTTTAAAAAAGATACAGACTCTGACGCTAGACTGCCTGGGTTCAAACTCTGGCTCCACCTTGCCTTGGGCAAGGTGAGATCCTCTTTTGCCTCAGCATCCTCATCTGTAAACTAGGCTGGACATGAAATTCTGACCTCAAAGGGCTATGTAAGGATTTACTGGATTTCTTTCTTTTTTTTTTTTTTTTTTTTAGAATGACCAAAATCAAATTTTTATTTTTATAACTGTATAAATGTGATCCAAATGTGTCCACCACTAGTTTTTTCGAAAAGAAACATGCTATAAATAAGCAAACTACATCTGCTCACTGATGTGTATGGACTCCCTAGATGTCTCATTGGGCTTAATTACAGATCACTCACAGTAAGAGATTTTTAGTGTAAAGTGTAGCATGATGTTAAGCCATTTTAGCTTTTGCACATACATGTTGCACTTCTGGCTGATAATGGAAAAAAATTTGCAGCATTACACTGTTAAGCTAGGTTGCATCCATCCCCTTAAATGGCATCAATATCAATGTCGTCATCCTTGTTGTCGGACTTCACGGTTTCAACTTTCGGTACACTGGCAGTCTTCGAATACACCACCTCAATGTTCTCATCTTCATCTTCTTCCTCACCACCAGAAGATTCTTCCTCTGCCTCCTTCAACCATTTTATAAATGGTTCTGCTTTTACACGAATCTCTTTGGCAAGTTCTTTGGAAACATATTTCTTAGAGGCCTTTTCCGACCAGCTGATGATGACCTCTTCTTCTAAAAGGTCTGCATCATACATCTCCTTCAAGATATGTGGAATCCTGGAGATAAGCTGAGCTTGATGCATTGCTACCACACACTCCAAACCATGAAGGAGGTACCGCTGAGCTTTTTTGTTGTTGTGACAAAATCGTAGGAAATGGCGCCTATATTTCTTAATCTGTTCTCTGATCTTCTCATTAAAAAGAACTTCAGTCAGAACAAGAGGGCCCATGGCTTTTACATCTAGTCTTTCTGCTTCAGCAACAATTTCTTTGTCAGATGAATCAATAATACCCTCTTCTTTCTTCTTCTTAACAAAATCAAACAAGATATTGACCCGCTCCTCAACTGTTCTTTCCAAATCATCACTGAGAGTCAGAACTTTTGCATGGTCACTGATTTCATCCATTCGACGTCTTTGAGCTTCCTCAGTTGTATCTTCTCCCCAGTCGTCATCTTCCTCTTCTTCCACTGTATGTGGAGGAGGACTAATTTCATTTGGCGGTGGTGGTGGTGGTGTCTCACTGCTGGATACGGAGCCATTTTCCTTGGTCTTTGCCCTTTCTATTTTTCTTCTCCTTTTCTTTCTTTCCTGTACCACTGTCACTATTCTCAGGTGGGTTTTTGAGAATGAATGTGCAGAGTTTATGATGTGTGTCAAGCATGCCTCGATAGCCACAGGCTTTACAAGAATTACCTATTGTTTGCTTCTTTGGATTTACATGCAGATCTGTTTCAGGATTCTCACATTCAGGACAGAGAACAAATTTTTTAATGAATCCATCCAACATGTCTTGCAGCTTATTCGGCTCATGAGATCCATTGACAATGTAACGGTCATTCTTAACATCAAACTGGGTCTGTGCTCCCAGCTCACAACCAAAATATTTGGTGGGATACGTTGGAGGCCGATTAAGCGCCTTGGCAACGTCAACCATGTTGACTATAACTGTCTTGATTCCATTTCCTTTGCCCTCAACCTTGGCAATCAGACGGGGCATCTTGTAGCGATAGAACTGGTCTGACACGCTGCGGTTGACGTTGACAGACATTTTGGCTTATTATTAGTGGCTTTATCAATAAGATGAAGAGATCTTTGATTGCAACTTTTTGGTATCTTCTGTCTGGAGAAGAAGGGATGACATAAACGACTGCAAGAGTTCTCGGTCTCTGACATGAAAAAATTTTCGCCACTGAGGCTGTAAGCTTCTTGCTTGTATGCTATGTTTCCCCAATACAGGTACCAATGGCTGCGCAACAGCTCGTTTTCGTCAAATAAAGACATAAACCCAATGCTGCTCGCCCAGGACTGGGATGAAGTGAGGCGCGATAGAAACCCGAGTCCGAGTCCGAGGAGGCGGAGGCGGAGCGCAGCGAGGAGCGGCCGGGCCAGGGGCCGCCGCGAGCAGCGGGGAGGGGCTGTCCCAGCGACGTCCGCGGTCCACACCCGTCAGCGCCGGAGCCTGGCGACCTCTGGAAAGTTCTCGCTCTGATTTACTGGATTTCTATGTATAGAAAACTTAGAACATGAGCCAGCATAGAATACACACTGTCTTGGTATTTGCTGTTATTACTTACGAGTATCACTGATAGTAAAAGAATGGGTTTTGGAAAAACTTAGTCTTTCTCTTTTATTTTTGAATCATTTCCTTGTTTGCTGTTGCTTTTGCACTATCAATAGAGATCTGTGAGCAAAGACTTACTTGACTGTGAAAGAAGGCAAGAAAGAAAGCCAGTGTGGGACCAGTCAATGGGTCCTTCCTGCTCAAGGAAGCCGCTGATGTTCTTCTGAAGGACTCAGCTTCTGACCTCTGACCCCTGACCTCCACCCTCTGACCTGTGACTAGCAAGGTGACTCAAGAGTAAAAGAACAGACTGTGGAGCATCCACACTGCTGCTGGGACCAGAGACAAACGGCCTCCAACAGGTCTTTGTGCTTCCTGAGAGCAGGAGGAGACAAGAAAACAAAGCAAAAAGGAGCAGGGTAGGTGGCAGCAGTTGAAGGGTGTTTAGCTTGAGATGGGAACCTCTACAGAAGGGTTATCCCCTCTACGGATCAAAGAAAATATCTGTCGTCAAGAAAATCGCTGTTTGAGTTCACAGAATGCATGGTAACTGGGGCCCTCCACATTGTCCTTGAGAGTATAAGCTGGGATTGACATTTTGGAAGACTGGCGATTCTAACCAAGGTAAACACGTACCTAGCCTCTGACCCAGGAATCCCACTCCTAGAATTTAACCTAGGAAAATCAACTCAGGCCACAAGACAAATGATCAAGAATGCATATTGCTGCTGTACTCATGCTATGAATCATAGGCACTTCCAAAACTGAAGACCATCCAAATATCCACCAACAGAAGACTGGACGTATGAACTGTGCCAATGTCAGACAGTGGAATATTGCTCTGAAATTAAAAGAAACAAACTGCTGATCTGTGCAGCAACATGGATGAATCTCAAAAACATTATTTTCAGCAAAAGCAGCCAGACACAAAAGCGTGCACACTACACAATTCCAGCTATTTGAATGCAAGAACAGGCTAATAAACTAATCTATGGTGATAGGAATCAGAAATGTGCTTATCTGGGGTGGGTGGTGGTGGTGGTAGGATCTGACTGGAAAGGGACGTTCGGGAACTTTCTGGGGGATTGGCAATGTTCTGTCTCTTCTTTGTTGCAGTGGTGGTCTTATGGGTGTACATAATTGTCAATAAAACACATCTGTATTGGGTTGAACAGTGCCACCTGCCCTCAATTCATATCTTACTTGAATCTCAGAACGTGACCTTGTTTGGAAACAGTATTTGCAGACATCATTAGTCAAATTAGAGTGAGGTCACACCAGATTAGTAGGCCCAATCCAATGATTGGTGTCCTGATAAGAAGAGAGAGATGGCCAGGCATGGTGGCTCACACCTATAATCCCAGCACTTTGGGACACAGAGGTGGGCAGATCACCTGAGGTCAGAAGTTCGAGAACAGCCTGGCCAACATGGCAAAACCCCATTTCTACTAAAAGTATAAAATTAGCTGAGCATAGTGGCGCGTGACTGTAATCCCAGCTACTCAGGAGGCTGAGGCAGGAGAATCACTTGAATCTGGGAGGCGTAGGTTGCAGTGAGCCAAGATCGCATGCACCACTGTACTCCAGCCTGGATGACAGTGTGAGACTCTGTCTCAAAAAAAAAAAAACAAAAACAAAAAAAAAAAAAAAAAAAAAAAACAGAGAAAGAGAGAGAGAGATGCAGGGAGAAGACCACCATGATTGAGAAACTGGAATGAGGTCCACAGGCCACGCAGCACCAAGAATTGCATACAGACACCAGAGGCTGGGAAGAGGCAGGAAAAGATCTTCCCTGGAACCTTCAGAGAGATGCTGGCCTTGCCAGCACCTTGATCTTGGATTTCTAGCCTCCAGATCTGTGAGAGAATATGTTTCTGCTGCTTAAAGCCACCAAATGTGGTACTTTGGTACTTTCTTATGGAAGCTCTGGGAAACTACTATACCACCAAACTGAACACTTAAGATTGTTTACTTTGGCCAGGAACAGTGGCTCACACCTGGAATTCCAGCACTTTGGGAGGCAGAGGTTAAAGGATCATTTGAAGGAAGAGGTTGGAGGCCTGAAGTTTGAAACCAGCCTGGGCAACATAGGGAGACCGTCTCTAGAGAAAAAAACATTTTTTTTTTTTTAATTAGCAAGGCATGGTGGTGCTAACCTGTGGTCTCAGCTACTCAGGAGGCTGAGGCGGGTGGATCACTTTAGCCTGGGAGGTCAAAGCCACAGTGAGTCATGACCATGTCACTGTATTCCAGCCTGCAAAACAGAGTGAGACCCTGTCTCAAAAAAATAATAAAATAAAATCAGTCTGGGCTCCCGCAATCTCAGCACTTTCGGAAGCTGAGAAGGGCAGATCACTTGAGCTCAGGAGTTTGAGACGTGCCTGGGAAACATGGTGAAATCCCATCTCTACTAAAAATACAAAAATTAGCCATGCATCTGTGGTCCCAGCTACTGCAGAGGCTGAGGTGGGAGGATCACTTGAGCCAGGTCAAGGTTGCAGTGAGCCATGGTCGTGCCACCACCACACTCCAAGACACATTTTAAGTAAGAATTTTATTTTAAGTAAGTTATATTCCAATTTTAACAATAGAAAATTGCTCATTGAACACAGCAATCTGGTGATGAAGGTCCCAACCTGGCTCATGCTTCATCAAATGAAGCCCCAAAAGAAAGCCAGCCCTGTGCTACTCTGAATTCACCTTGAGAGGCAGTACTTGGGCATCGACCAACTAGGTCCCTCCCATGGCTCTCCCTTCTTGCTCATCTACCATAAAAAATTGTCCCTTCTGCCCACAGCAAAAATGCCCCCTTCACCCTCTCAAACACAAACACCACGTGCTCTCTGTGCAGCACTACCCCAGAGACCCACTTTGCAGATTCTCCATTTGAAAGCTACTGGCCTGCTTGTAAGAGCACTCCCTTCCTTGGAGTTAGAGCCCTCAGGACTGCCTGGTCAGGAGCCAAGAGCATTGGCCCAGCTCCTCTTCCCATTCATTCATAGACGTGTTGCCCAAAATGCCCACCTGAAGGAATCTTCAGCTCCACCCTTTTTCTTCCTAAAGCCTAAACATTTACAAAAGGAGATTTTTTTAAAAAAAAAACTTACTAAGCCTGTAATCCCAGCACTTTGGGAGGCCGAGGCGGGTGGATCACGAGGTCAAGAGATCGAGACCATCCTGGTCAACATGGTGAAACCCCGTCTCTACTAAAAATACAAAAAATTAGCAGGGCATGGTGGCGCGTGCCTGTAATCCCAGCTACTCAGGAGGCTGAGGCAGGAGAATTGCCTGAACCCAGGAGGCGGAGGTTGCAGTGAGCCGAGATCGCGCCATTGCACTCCAGCCTGGGTAACAAGAGCGAAACTCCGTCTCAAAAAAAAAAAAAAAAAAAAAAAAAAAAAAAAAAAAAACTTACTTTGCTTCATGGTAGAAGCCCAGACCTTGAGAACAGGCCCATCATTTGTCTAAGCACATCTTGCAGATATCTGCAAGAGGATTAGGGTCAGTGAGGGTCAGAAATGGCTGCTGAATGCAGGGACCACCTGGCCCAGTCTCTACTGCATGGTCTCATCCCCACGAAGACTCCTCCACATTCACCAAGTGCCTACCATATCCCAGGGAACTTTCTAAGTATTAACAAATTGCCTCACAACAAGGCTGGAGTTGGGAACTATTATCTTTCTCTTTCTTTCTTTCTCTCTCTCTCTCTCTCTCTCTCTCTCTTTTGAGACACAGTTTCACTCTGTCACCCAGGCTGAAGTGCAGCAGCGCGATCACAGCTCACTACAGCCTTAACCTCCCCAGGCTCAGGTAATCCTCCTACCTCAGTCTCCAAATTAACCATCACATCTATAACCTCTGTATCTGGGATTACAGGTATGCAACAGCACACCCAGTTAATTTTTTGTATTATAATATGTTTGTAGAGATGGGGTTTTGCCACACTGCCCAAGCTGGTCTTGAACTCCTGGGCTCAATACTATTATCTTCTCAAATTGATGAGGAAACGGAGGACCAGAGGGATGAGGTAACTTGTCAGAGATCACACACATAGCAAGCTGCAAAGCAGTGACCGTCTTAACCACTGGGTTGCCTCAACAAGTGTGTACCTGTTTCTAGGGATTAGGTATCACATTCTCCAGTGACCAAGAACCTAAAGGTTTTTCTTTATTACTGACCCAGACTATTTTAACTTTTTTATTTTTCTACTCTTCTTGAGAAACACCAGGAAAGTGAGTTCCAAGTTGAGTTTTATAACAGCCCAGAGACTCTGAAAGGTCATTGGGACATCCTCCAAGACATTATATAAACAAAGCTGATTATAACAGGATAAAGATTCCTTGGTTTTGTTTTTGAGGTTTTAATATGTTTTGTTTTGTTTCAAAAGTTAGCAAAAACAAGAAGAGCTAAACTGGAAAAGACTGCAGTTTTTTCGAACTCCATGGGAAAACCCAGTTTCTACTCTTCCTGACACCAGAAAGGACTTCAAGTGGGGTTTCTTGGAAGAGAATCAAACCAATAATTTCTTACTGCAGGAAAGGAGACTTAAGTCTATGGGTACTAACCCTGTCCATGTCCACAAGAGTCCACAGTAGTTATTGGCTCAGTCAAAGGAGCTTCTCCAGTTGGGTGACTCAGGACACTGAAGAAACAGAGACTTTATTCCAAGAGTGCAAGGATGGTTCAATACTAGGAAGCTTCTTAATATAACATAACACAGTCAGTCTTCTGTGTCTGTGGTTTTGCATCTTCAGTTTCAACCAACCACAGATTGAAAATGTAGTTTAGGCTACCACATAATCCAGCAACCCCACTGCCAGGTATATACCCAAAAGAAAGGAAATCAGTACACTGAAGATTTATCTGCACTCCCATGTTTACTGCAGCACTGCTCACAATAGCCAAGATTTAGAAGCAATCTGAGTGTCCATAAGCAGATGAAT